CACAATTTGTGAAGCTATTGAAGTAAATGTATGTTATCATTTGCATTGAAAATATGCAAAATGTTGTTTTAGTCAATAAATAATAATTATTGTTAAATGATACACCTGCCTTGAAAAGACACGCACCTGTTATAAGAAGGTGAAAATGTTATAGGGGTCATTAATATGCAGTAGTCATTATTTTTGTTTATACCTACCATTTTAAAGAAACAAAATATATTTTAACTGACTTTTGTAAAAGTCACCAAAATTGTTTTAATTAATGCAATTATGTGCCTTAATGAATCATAACTTTATTTATATGTCATTCAACTCCTTATGACAAAATTCCGAGTAATTCCATCATAAGAATGCTAAAATCGTAAACTAAATATTTATTGAATAGATTAAAACGAAGAACATGTTTTCTAAGCATTTCTTTTAATCAAGCTATTATTAATTTTTATTGTAAGGAATTTTTATGCTTTTTTAGTATTAGATAGATACTGTTTTTAATAAATTTACAGAACTTTCTGATATCCGCAATATTTCATGAGACATAAATTAAATAATGTTTTATTAAATATGAAATAACATTTAGCTTAAATCCAAAATTAAAAACATGTAAATGATAAACTTTGGATACGTATACGTATAGGTATACCTTTAATGAATACAAAATATAGGACCGCGTTGTCCACAATTTAACATCCCGACTTTTTTCCTTTTTTAATAAAAAGTTTTTATTTTTAAACCTATTTTTAGATAATAAAATTTAGTTCCCTTCTGGCGAGGATTTATTATATGAGGTAGGAAACTTGATAAACTGCCCATAAAATATTATTATCCATCTTACAATGTATTTTGCAGATATAGCTTTTAACAGACCCTTCAAAGATTAAAGACTTTTGAATATCCAATAACACTTACGCCTGAGTACTTCGTAAGTACTCGAGTAAATTAAACATACTCTCACAGAAACAGGCCTGGACTTCAAAATTTTTAATATCTTATTTTTTACTCCCACTTTAAAACGCCCTTTATCGTACATGGTTCCATGACACTAAATGATCTTTTAAATACACATTGACAAGTTGTGGCTTTATGGCGCTTTAGTCACGGGCTGAACTTAGTTTTAAGTTAGTTGACAGTAGTCAAATGTCATACAATCGTTAAAATGAAGTGCCTTTCTTGTAAAATAATACTAAATGTAAAAATTATTTTATTATCTCAATACAAAAATACAAAAGTATTAAATAGTTTGTTGACGCCAATATTTGAAAAGATTATATGAACGTTTGTACTGACCTTTTGATTTCGCCGTAGTAGTGCAGTTATCTAGATTTAGCTGATAGAGCGTTAAACATTTTGTGTACAGTGCCCATAAAACATGATCTTCTCTTTTACTGCCTTTATATCAATTGCTAGTCTATTTTCAAGGGATAAATTTTGATTTACACAGAAAAATTTCGGTAGATTTCCAAGTTAAAAATTCTAAAGGGAACTCCAATAAATACAACTGGTACTTTTTGTACCTTTAACATTTTCCGTGTAAGAATTTGTATTACTTTGTGATAATATTTCGCAATTATTAGTAATAAAAAAAATCAAAGGATAAATTATTTTTTTATATCATAATCATATTTTGAAGTTATTTTATAAGTTTAATTTATTGTTAAGTTTAATTAAAATAATAACGGGCAATGTTAATGGTGAAAATCACGTCAAAAATGTTTATTGGGATGGTTACTATAATTTCGTATAGATGGCGCGTTATACAAATAATTAATTTAAATAATTGTTTAGATAATATTAAGTATTTGTCGTAGAAAAAGTATAGTATTCAACTCGTTTATAAGCTTTCTAGGTACTTATTTAATTAAACACTGGCTCGCAAGCTCGCTCGTGCCCAAATAAATATTTTAAGTTGCGAAAAAATGAGGTTAGGTAAATTCGTCAGATGTAAAATTTTTATAAATTAAAATTAGCTTTAAATATCTATTTCTGTTTGTCGTAGATAATAGTATATTAAAGAACTAATGGACGAGTGCGACAAAAGGTCTTATGATACGAGTTTTTTATGCTATTTTATCTATTTTGCAAAAATTCTATAAAAAATTAATTTTATACCTTATATTTAATTTGGTCGAATTTTACTTTAGATAATTGGCATCACAGTCATTGGTTTGACAGTTAATGTCAAAATCAATTCGCCATGCCGTCCTTAATTTACTTATTTACAATAAGCGGCTATTAATGTTAAAGAAGAAAAAAAGGATTTTCTTTGGTGTTAAACAAAATTTATTGCCAGAAAAGTCTCGTAAGTAAAAAAATCATACAAATATTGTAACCAATATGCAAAATATAATTTTACTAGGTTGGCTACAGTGTTTAAAGTAGCCAAACTATAAAATCAAAATTTTGGGTGGGGTAAAGAACCTCATTACAGCACCGAAAGCGGTGTTGCAATGAAGTCATTATGAACGCAAAATGTATAAAGTATATTAGGCAACTCGTTTTTTAAACTTCTTTAGACACCTGTTTTTAATAAACGCTAGCTCGCAAGCATCGCTCGTGCCTAATAATGCTCGTAAATAAAATGGCGTTACTATATTAAGACAATATGTCAAAATGGCAGAACACAAATATAAATATAAAATATTAAGCAGTAAAGTTTTTTAGAATGGATAAGTATAAATTGTTATTAGAAAATTATTTTTAAATAACGATTTTAAAATAAAATAAAAATATTTACTTATTATTGAAAATATATAGTGTACTCGTATATGTTTTTATATATACTCACTAGCTATATTTTTCTACTCCTTTATATTGCATTATTTGCATTTTCCCTATATGTATAATGATAACCATTATAACCGCCCAGCCTAACCATGAGAATAAAGAACTCATTATTTACGTTGTGATTGTCCGATTTCATTATTCACTGTTATTTGGACCATTTCATTATTCACTGTGATTTGCACCAATCTGGTCCATTTCCAAAAACATCATAGTCGCCCCTGGTATACTAAATAAATTCTGACATATGTTAAACTATCTAACCTCACTTTTAAATTTCTTCTTTATTTTTTTTTGTATTTCTCCCAATGAAAATTATGTATTATCTCGCGTAAATAATTTTAGATTTTTAAAAAACATAATAAAAATGGCTATAGCAGGACCATACTTACTGAAACTATGTAATATTTCATTGGATTTTTTTATAGATAAACTTTTATGGTTTATAGTATTTTACTGTAACCTATAAAATTATGATTTATTACTTGGATATTAAAATTCATATCCCGAATGTTCTCTTTTAATGTTGTACCCTCTCTAAAGCCGGGACTGCACTCATCCAAATAGTAAACAAAATTTATTTACTGCATTTAGACCTTACAAACGTCTTTAAACAGCGATACGTTTTGTTTGCCGCCGCCTCTATTTTCATATTAATCTGCATGCGGCGACGAAACATAAGTCTAGGAAGTCGTCGCTTTTTTGTTTCTATTTTCGTTTGGGAAAGAGTTGTTGATTGCGACATAGGCGGAGATTATAAACATTCTGACAGGTGCAATAAATTCACGCCCGCTTACATCTCATCTAATCCCGCACCAAACAATTAGCCCGAATGACACAACAAAAAATTAAATTGTTTATCTTTTACGGTTTAGATTAGGTGATGGATGATCTTGCGAATTGGTTTTGCGGTCAGGGAATCACTGATTCTATTTAATACAATATTTACACTAGCTAAACCCTACGAAAATTAATCAATTAAATTCTTAAAATTTAGTTAGTTATTCTGTTAGTAACATCCGCCAAATGAGATTGACGTCACGTATTTTGCTCGAGAAGTCCATTCTTTTGATACCCATGTCAAGGAGGTAATCCGCCATCTTGGGGCGGCCGCCATATTGGATTTAGTATGAGGCTACTCGACTTATCTTTTTCTATTCGTCAAACCCTTTTAAGACGTCTAAGCTTTAATTTCGGAAAATTTATTTAAAGAAAATAGTTATTTATGTAACAAGGCAGAAAAGTCGTATTTTTTATCATGAATGTGAAAATTATTTGCCGAGGCGAAAGCCGAGGCAAATAACCACGTGATTGATAAAAAATGACTTTAATGCCGAGGTGCATATTAAATTTTATCCGAAATAATAATAATACTAATAATTAATATTGATGATCAAATCAAATGTCATTTGATGATCAAATCAAATGTCATTTGAACGTAGGAAGATTTGCCCTCTGCGGCGATTTTTTAATTTAATTAATAAAATTAACTTATTATTTTTATTAAACAACATTTTATGAAAGGGCCCAATTGACCTCCGCAACGGTGCTTTTTTATAAATATTATTTAGTTGCTGCTGAGGAGCAGTAGACACATCTTAAAATGTATGGGTTGCATACAATACTTGTATTAAATCGGCAGTAAAGTTCTACTTTACTGCCGATTTCTTTTACTTTACTGCCGATTTCGGATAAAAGTTTATACTTTAATTCAAGGTTCGAAAGTTATTTATTTCTTATAAAAAACTATAGTTTTTAATATTATTATATTGGCTACAGTTTGGAAAAACCATATACACGAGTCCTGCTTTAATCATCACTATTTGCAAGTCGGCAACATCAGTCGAATAATATAATATAATAAGCCTTATCACTATATATATTCAATATAAACAATAACAATAAATACAAACCTATAAAAAAATATTCGATCGGATCTTTGTTGAAACAGGTCAATTTATTCGTTCTAGATCACAAGCATTTTTTAAATCAAATCCCGTGTAAAATTATAATTTCAATAACAAATTATATGATGATATTTGTTCATGCATATTGGATTGACACACTAGACCTATTAATTATAATAACCTTGGCTTTTTAAATAGGTATTATATTAAAAAAAAAGCAACCAAAAACACTGAATATTTTTGATTTATTAACTTATTATTTTTTGTGGTTTTCAAGTTCTCCAGATCTAAAGCCTATTGTTTTTTTTGCAGGCCGCATAACTTTGGGAAGTGGACAGGGAGTTGACATCTCCGTACAGGGCACCGGAGTTCTGCCTTTGCACTGTCACATTGAAAATAGTGAGGGGGTGGTTACCATTTACCCCCTTTCAGAGAATCTTTCCATAGATGGTGTCAAAGTTAATGGACCTACTAGACTATCTCAAGGTAAAAATAAAAAATTGTCATATAATTTAAAATTCTGTTCTTTGAATGTATAACATAGGCAACCCACGTTGCTTACTAGCTCATTAGTTGCCTATATTCCAACACAACTTTTTAAATTTCAGGCGTTATGTTAACTATTGGACGTTCAAATTACATGAGATTTAACCACCCTGCGGAAGCCAAATTAATGAAATCGGTCCTCCCAAATCCGAGGATATCGATGGCGCCGATTTACTTTGAACCGGATAATTCCTTTCAGCCAAAATTCAACAAAAAACCACCTGTAGCTCCTAGAAAAAGTCCCAGAGAGTCCCTATCGGACAGCGGAAGTGACGATACACCCTCATCTTTCATGACAAAAGTGTCAAAATTTGAATACCTCGCCGCGCAGAACTTTAAAAAATCAATTTCGCCGAAAGTTTTTTCATCGAATCTGGTGACCGTAAACACGCCAGCGAAAGACGTTCTGGGCAAGGCACCCCCCGATTTCAACAGTTTTTCGAAAAATTTACCGCAAAGCGCGTTGAATTACGTTGAATTAAACTATAACGAAAAACAAAATGAAAAGGAACACGTCCAAACGAACGATCGTCCGATGTTCAGCCGTAAACAGCAAGCGCAATACGTTAACGTTACCGTAAACGAAACCAAAACTATTAATAACCGCGTTTTTATCTACGAAAATGGCGGCAACTCCAAAACCAACGTCAATTTCGATCACAACGAGCTTAACAACAAAAGTTCTAGTTCCAATAAAAATATAAACGTTAACAGGGTGGCCTCGCCGTCGCCTAGTTACAATAGAAACCCTACCGCGCAGTACTATAGAAGCGTAACGCCCAGTCCTGTCAGCAACAGTGTAAATGTGGATCATAGGCGCAGCGGGTCTCTAGGGGAGTTAACCAATGGAGGGTATAACATTGGCAGCAATGAGGAGGATAGAAAGCACGAAGCTGAACTAAGAAGGAATCAAGTGAGTGCAATTTCGTTGCTTTATACACTAGGGTGTCCGTTATTTACCAAGTTGGCTGTTTTCACTTGGATATCGTTTAAATTGTTAGTTTTTGCACTTTTTGAAAATTAATTTTTTTTCTTGTTTTTTATATTCAATAACTTAACAAATATTGTTAATTCTGCTTCTATTATGATCCCTTTGGAAGTAAACTAGATTTAACAGATAAAGCATTAAAAATTTCGGGTGAAGACCACCATCAAGTGCCTTATCATACATTTCGTACATTATCTTTTCACTAAAAGACTGCTTCTATATCGGATTTAAACGGTTGTCCATTTTCAGGGGATAAATTTCGATTAACACAGAAAAATTTGAAATTTGATAAAGTATAGTATGCAACTTATTTAATTAATTTAAATTCGTGACTAAAATGACGTTTATCAAACTTGATACATAATACACTATTGTGTTACACTTTTAAGCACTAGTGCGCAAAAGTGGCACTTAAACAATAGTGTTTTAAAATAAAAAATACAAAATTTATATAATACGAGCCCTAACCACATAATGTTCGGACACTTCATAATTTATACAGAAATTTTTTTCGTGAATACTATCTCAAAATTATTAGAAGTTATGAAAAATTCAGCTTATTTTGGCATATACCCCTCGAAGCGATTTTTATTTTTAAAAAGTTTACCTTTTATTTTTAGCTTTTAAAAAAAGGCTAACTTTTTAACTTTTTTTTGTATGAGTAAAAAAAGTTATAAATGGACCCATTAAAAAGAGCATAAAATATTATACAAACCCTGAAAATTTAGTAAAAAATAAATAAGTTATAAAAAAGTATAAGTAATTTAAAAATGCTATTTTTAAAGAGTTTTTGCAATTTTCTTAGGAAACGGGAGATTTTGCAGATATATATATCGCTATAACTTTCTTATTATTTATACAATTTTTTACCAAATTTTCAGGGTTTGTATAATATTTTATGTTCTTTTTAATGGGCCCATTTATAACTTTTTTTACTCATGCAAAAAAAAGTTAAAAAGTTAGCCTTTTTTTAAAAGCTAAAAATAAAAGGTAAACTTTTTAAAAATAAAAATCGCTTCGAGGGGTATATGCCAAAATAAGCTGAATTTTTCATAACTTCTAATAATTTTGAGATAGTATTCACGAAAAAAATTTCTGTATAAATTATGAAGTGTCCGAACATTATGTGGTTAGGGCTCGTATAATATTGTAAAAGTGACACTTTTAAGCACTAGTGTGTTTTATTTATTTATGGTAAATTGAAAATAATAGTATATTATGTACTTATCAAGTTTTATAAACGCAATTTTAGTTACGAGTTTTATTAGTCAAGAGGGAAGCTTGTAAGCAAGTGTTTAATAAAAACGAGTGTCTAAAGAAGTTTATAAAACGAGTTGCATACTATACTTTTTCTACTCCCAACTTTAAAACGCCCTTTATCGTACATGTTTCCATGACACTAAGTGACCTTTTAAATACACATTGACAAGTTGTGGCTTTATGGCGCTTTAGTCACGGGCTGAAGTTAGTTTTAAGTTAGTTGACAGTTGTCAAATGTCATACGTTAAAATAAATTGCCTTTCTTGTAAAATAATACTAAATGTGAAAATTATTTTATTATCTCAATACAAAAATACAAAAGTATTCAATAGTTTCTCAACGCCAATATTTGAAAAGTTTATATGAACATTGTACTGAACTTTTAATTTCGCCGGCAGTAAACTATATAACTACGGACTCCACTGTAAAGTGCTCATAAAACATTTTCTTTACTTTCACTGTGAAAAACTGTAAATTTTCAAGAAATACATTTTGATTTATAAATAACCTTTATAATTGTGTTTATAAAATGTAAAAATTTGACATTTGATGGTGACACACAGATTCCCCTATTGTTTCATAGATGGCGCTCTATACAAATTTTTGATTTAAATCATTTTAAGATAATAATAAGTATTTGTCGTATAAAAAGCATGGTATGCACCTCGTTTATAAACTTTTTTATACACTCGCTCGCAAGCTCGCTCGTGCCTAAATTAACTTCGTGTAATAAATGGCGTTTATCAAACTTGATACATACGACGTACACATTGAAGAATTTAAAGCCAATTTTATGTATTAAACATTTGACATCTATCAACTGTCAACGGATTTAACAATTTTTCCCAATTTATAATAAAGTCCGTGACTAAAATGACCAAATCCCACTGTTGCTAACTTCAGTCGTGACTAAAATGCCATAAAGTCACAGCTTATGTGACAAAAATCTTTAATGCAATACATATGTAATACAAAATCGATGTCTAACGTCTCGTGCTTAAAAGATTATCTTTATGCAACTTATTGCATTAACATTCTAAAATGTGTTTTGGCATACCTAGTTATAATTTTGGCATTTAATTAATTATATTTAACATTTCAAAGATTATGGTACATTCTGCTCATAATCTAGTACTTTCACAGAATTCTTTATACTGTGGTACTGTTAAGTTCAATCAGCACTAGTCCAATTAATTTCATAAAAAAACAGTTAATTTGACATTTTTAACGCTAAAATTCTTAACAACTAAATATAATAACTTTCGCCACTGGCATATTTTAATATGTAGGTATGACCTAAGCGCACTTTTTTTATCTTATCTCTTCCCAAATATTTACTTAACGTGTGCCCCATTTCTTTACTTTGTTGTTACTGTATGTTAACTTGGTTGCTTTGCGTTTTTAGGCACAGCAGGATAGAATTAAGGAACAAGAGATTGGTAAAGCAGAGCAACAGAGATTGGAGGAGATTTTAAATATGTGCGCGGAGTATGAAAAACAAAATCAGACTGATAAACAAAAACCAAAACCACCAAAGTAAGTGTTTTAAATTATTAAAATGTGTTATAAGTATAATTACACCTAATAAAATATTTAAATAATAATTTATATAAATATAAACTATTGGGTATAAATATGATTAACTTAAATTAAGGAATGCAAACTTATGTAAATAATAACACAATACTAATGGCTTACAAATGTTAAAACAATATTTTTTTAAGTTAATTGGTTAAATAAAAATTGTTTACTTGATTTGTTAGATTTTTACTAATTATTTTTTTATACATATTTAATAATTGTACTTAAAATTAAAATACTAAAATGGTGTCAATCCAATTCCAGGTATCTAAACTATACAAATTTTACACGCCCGCAGTATTTTTTTCTTAGAGAAACGTTGTTTTGTTTTTTATATTGACCTGCCACTCTACCTTACTTACTAAACAGCACTATATACAAAATTTTAAACCACAATATTATATCATATCATTATTTTCTTTGAAATTGTAATTTGTATTTATAAAAATATTGCGGTTTAGAATTTTATACAGATGATTTCATCAAAACATATCCATGTTAATTGATAAGATATCGCATAGTCTATGTAAATGGCTATGAAATCATGGGAATATTAATTTAGTTTCATCTATTGAAGAGTCATACAAACATAGTGATTAAATGTCATTTTTAATTAAAAATTAGTGTTGTCAATGAAGGCAAGTAAATTTTGAAACATTCCCCATTATTTAAAACGTAATTAAATATACAGATTTGAACAAAAAACTTTATTTTAAAAGGAATGTTTAAAAAAAATCATCAAGTCGCATCTCTATATGAGGCCTGTCAGAGCAAAGTCAACAATCTCCCGTCAGACTAAAACTGAGTAAATAGAGATAATTGATTTTGGTATTTTAAATTCTAGATTTGTAATTTTTTTTATATATTATATTGAAATATTGTTGTTGTTAGTCTAGTAGCCAACTACAAGGTCTCCAGGATGCATAGGATAGGTGAAATCTATAATTATAAATTGGAGATTGCTGACTTTGATATGAATTGCTGGAGATTGCTCATTTTGTTGTAAACGTTTAAGGAGATTTAGAAAAATAAACAAAAAAATAATTGTATTTTTCTCCCTTTAATGGTTAACTATACAATCAATGTGGGAAAATTCTGAATTCTGAAAATTCTGAACTGGACCACATAAATCTGGAGTTTCTTCTTTTTGTAGTTTAGTATTAGTTTTATTTTTAGTACCTAAATGAAATGTAAACTTTAATTATATTTTTTGTTCTGTTATTGGAGTTTTACTCCGTTGGGCAAATAAATGAATTATTATTATTATTATTATTAAATCTGGGACCAGGTTGCCTCGGGCAAAAATTTTTTTATAGTACAACAACTCATCATCTCCTTCCCACTTTGCCCCGTAATGTTTTACTTGCAATGTTTTGACATTATCAGCCTTTTCTTGCTTTACCTTTTCGTCTTATTATGGTATAATAGCACAAAATAAACAAGATAACTTTTTTATAATTCTTAAAACAATAAAACGTAGATTTACCTATTTTAAATATATTTTTTAAGTGCAATTTACTGCAATAGAACTTAACAGTATGTACCAGTAAAAAAACACAAAATTAAATCTCTAAAATACGTTATAACATCAAATGTTAGGATATCAGGTGACACAAATTACTAATTTCTAATGGTGGAATTGGAGATTGTATACTTTGCTGCAAATCTATCAGTGGAGATTATCGACTTTGCACTAAATGTCATTTTTAAAATAGGATTTTAGGCAGGATTTAGCTCCTTTTGCAGCACATAAACTTTATCATCTTATAGATAATTAGTTGAAGTATAGTCTCCGCCAAAAATCTAATTTTTGACCAAAAGTGGAGATTGTCGTATATGTAGGTTATGTAAACATTTTTACATAAAATATATTTTTACATTTTTACATATAACTAATTTTCAGAATAGAACCTAGACATATTATTAGAAATGATTGAAGAAATTTCTTCTATTTAATTAATATCTTAAGATATTAATTAAATACAATTATTAAAAGTTTAATCAAAAAGAATTTTAAAGATTTTTGAAATTTTGGAAATTTTAATAATTTTGTAAATGTAAATTTTAAGAATTAAAAGTATTAAAAACTTTGAAAATATTTAATTTTGAAAATCTGTCAATCACCATTTCATTTTCATTTTCTACTCGTCAAACCCTTTTATTTGATACCAATCGCAATCCGCCATCTTAGGGCAGCCGCCTTATTGGAATTATTTATTTTTATCTCTCTCTCCCTTATGCACAGCCACTAATTTCTTACTCCACGAACATACTATGTTCACGCGTCCACACTCGATTTTCTGACCCACTCATCATGTGACTTCATTCTATCGAATTTTCGTTATCTGTGAGCTCACAAAATATATTTGTTTATTAAGAAATATTGTGGTTTTACCTTTACTTTATGACCGCATTAACTTAAAGCTTAAAGAATTGTAATCCTGTTAATGTTAATCAAGTTCTTATTAATTTATTTCATTTTAGGAAGCCAGTGCGTCGCACAAATGGCTCGCTGCCGCGCAACAAGTCCCAACCGTCGTCCCCGAGTTACACGACTCCTCCGCCCTCGCCGCTAGATGTCCTTCACAACGAACTTCTCAAGCAGAACAACCACAACTACGAGAACCACATCATCTACAGCCCCACGTCGAACGTCAACTACGAAAACGTGGAGATCCGCTCGAACAGCTTGGATTACCGGTCGCCGCACAATGCGAGCCCCTATGAGAATGTTTACTTGCAGAACCCCCCCGCTCACTACCAAGGCTCCAAGTCCAAGTATATTTTAGCCAACAATAGGGATCTGTAAGTATATATGCTAAAGAAGTATCGCTAGTAGCGCCACCACTCGGCTGTTAGCATCGTAACAAAAGTAGAACTTTTAATAATCAGCTGTCAAACGCTTAGGTTACAAACAAGTGTTTTTGAGAATAAAGCCGGAAAATGTTAAAAAATGTCGAAAAAAAACCGTGGATCGATTTGTTGTGTTGTTGGGTGTATTTCGAGAGGAAATCCTGGGTTGAGTTTTTATCGGTTTTCCAATAAACAGTGTTAATCTGAATGAAGAAATAAATTGCATACACTCCCTGTAAATACCCGGACAACAATCGGGATTTCCTGGTGAAGTCATGATGATATCACAACGTGAGTTTTTTTATCACGGTATGATATCCTGAGTGCATACACATGCTTTATCACAGTGATATCATGTAGAACTCACGGTGTGATATTTGCAAAATTTGCGCATGCGTAATAGCCCTGCGAACTGCGAATTTAAAACCTACTTTGTTACCTGTTGATTCAACATAACTTTTCTCTTAGTGTACGAACGTGGCGCAAAAATGATTATCAAAACACCTTTGGCATAAAAAATCACGACATGATTTTTTATTCCATCGGTGCACCGACATCTTTGGATATTTATTTTTGCGCCACATTCGTACATTGAAAGAAAAAGTATGTTAACAATTGAATTAACAGTTTTTGCGGTTAAATACATTTAATATTTTCTTGAATGTAAATTAACTATTAATTTAAATCCAAAAAAATATTGAATATTTTTATTTAACCACAAAAACTGTTGATTCAATATATATGTAGGTATTCTTTTTCTCTCAATGTACGAATGTGGCGCAAAAATAAATATCCAAACACCGATGGCATAAAAAATCACGACATGATTTTTTATGCCATCGGTGTTTGGATATTCATTTTTGCGACACATTCGTACATTGAAAGAAAAAGTATGTTAACAATTGAATTAACAGTTTAACATTCAATATTTTCTTGGATTTAAATTAACTATATAAAGTTAATTTAAATCCAAGAAAATATTAAATGTATTTAACCGCAAAAACTGTTGATTCAACATAATTTTTCTCTCAGTGTACGAACGTGGCGTAAAAATGATTATCCAAACACCGTTGGCATAAAAAATCACGACATGATTTTTTGTGCCATCGGTCAATCGCAAACAGCGATGGCATAAAAAATCACGACATGATTTTTATTTCTCACGCAGTGACATCCGGATGATGTCCGTATGAATAAAATTTGTGAAAATCAGGACGTGACGTTCGTATGATTTTAATTTATCACGCGGTGACTTCCGTATGATATCAGTATGAATAAAATTTGTGAAAATCACGACGTGATGTTCGTATGAATATCACGAATGTTTTCCGGGTATAAATTGTACCTATTAGATACAATAAATACACATGTTAGTAGTGATTAAAGTGAAAAGTGTAAACATTTCAATTCAGTAAAAATCGACAAACAATTTTAACAGCATTTAGCATTATTAAAAGCGTAAAGCGTTAAGAAAGTCTCCACTCAACGGTAAAATACCATTATATTATGTATTATACATATATAATATTATGTTGCCATGAATTTGTAGGTATATTTTGTTGTTTAAAATGCATTTGTCGGCGTTTTTTAGAGAACTCTAATATAAAAATGATTTATTTTAGGTTATGTTTGTGCAAAAATTATTTTTTACTAATTTCTTAAAAATGTCCAAACTTAAATATAAATTATAATAGGTAAAGTTATCATTAGTTGATTCTGCATCAACAAATGTACTTACCGAATTGGATCCTTTGGCAAAACATGAAAATGCAACGATTTAGTTCTTGAATTTTATTTACAATTAAAAATAATAATTCACCATGATCCCTTTGATAAAATACACACTAACAAACCTATATAAGAATTTAAGCGTTGAGTTTCTTAATTAATGATATAAGGAATAATTAATCGAAATCGAGTAATAAAAAAGTTTTTAAATTTTTTCCTTGCAACGTAAAACACAAATAACGGGCGCGATTTAGCTGTGCAATTGAACAAAATTTGTCGATTAAAGGCGTATTCATGCTCACTTAAAATAAGAAATAAGAATAAGAAATAAGATCGCGATTGATCGTTCATGCTGATAACATAAGAAATAAAAAATGTCACACAATTATATTTTATTATAGTGGTTTATATTGGCTATAAACGTAAACAATCGACAGCAACACTCAACGCGATTTCCAACACCATGGCTCCATGGCCAGCACATAAAACCCATCAAAATAATTCACAGACCCATTTTGGTCCTTTGCGCAGTTTTATACGCAAAAATAAGAACCAAAGTTGAAACTTATTTATCTTTAGTCTTATTTCTTATTTTCATGAATATGAACGCAACCATAACTTTACACAGTTTTAACTTTTTATCTTATTTCTTATTTTAAGTGAGCATGAATGCGCCTTAAGACTTCTGCCTTCTTCTCTTTTGTAAAAAAACTACCTATTTATATAAAAATGATGTATAATCGGTGTTTTAAATTTATTGGAGACAATTCTTAAATTCACGCAATGCATTCGAAGTCCACCAGATGGCGCGCGCGTTGCGAAAACCCGATACTTCTTTAGCGTATTACGTAAACAATTTTGTTGATTGTTTCGAACTTTACTTGATGAAACTCCATATTATTAATATATGAATAAAAACAACATTGTTTTAAAGTTATTTATGCTTTTTAAAAAATTAACAATTATTTCGCTAAATAAGTACAAATTTTTATTAAGTTGCGGTATTTATATTAGCTTATGCAGGTATTTGAAAAAATAAGTGTATAAACATTGTACCTACCTGAGTGTATTAATTAAACTAACACAATTTTGGAAAAACTATGGATTTGGAAAGTCGTATCTAATATAATTTTACAATATTAATATTTAATATTTTTTAGTAATACAGCTATACATTCTAAAATAAATTTAGCAAAGGAGAGTTGTTGGTTTTAATTTTGTCATTAAGAACAATATCCGATTTTTTCTTTAGTTTATTAATTTTCAAAAACTCCAGAACATTTAGAAAAAACAAATAAAATAAAAAAAAAATTATTAAGAAAAATTATAAAATCAAGCATTACAATTTTTTATTTTGTTTTTTTTTATGTAGGTACTATACAAATGCTTAAATAGAAATTTCATTTTATGGATAGTAAAATGGTAAAATATACTTTTTTAAGCGTACAATTATTTTCACATTATAAGACTCATAATCATACTCGTTATTAATATTATTAGAGACCGAATTTCAGGCAAAATGCTAATTCTATATTACATATTATATTATACAAAAAATTGATACAAATATAGTAAAATTGTCTTAAAACCACTATATGTATTATAAATACTGTATAGTAAATTAAAAGTCGTTATAGCTTCGTTATTCCAGGAAATTTTGAAAAAACAAAGTTTTACATGCACATTAATCTGCATTTTCGTCCAAATTCTTCGCCACCATATTTTGAATTACCATCACCATCTTTTGTTTTTATAATGGCCGCCGTAATTTAGTTTGATGTAGTTTGATAACTCATTAACTAGTAGGCGAAACAATCACAAATTTTATAAAAATGTGGATAAATGTGTATGTTTACATGGGAACATTCCTAGGAATAACAAATTTATAACAATTTTTAGTTTTCAGTTTTTTTAAATTATTTGATAATCCATTTTTAAATGTCATTTTAATAGACTTGTAATTACGCACATTTTGTCTAATATAACTGACAGAAGGATACTTGGTGCACCCTGTATAATAGGGTGAGCCAAAAAAACTAACCTATCGGATTTATGGGTTAAAATGAACCTACATACCGAGCAAAAAATTTCCCTGCAAGGCAAAATTTTTTGCTCAATTTTAAAAGGTGTCGGTGAGCAGTCTAAGTTTTCCATTGAAATAACACGTAAAAAAATCTTTTTTCATTAAAAAGACTATAACTTTTGAACCGTTTGAGATAAAATTTTTTACGTCGCGGATTCTTGTAGAGCATAAAATTTCCCAAAGAATCTATACCAGGATTATTTTTTTAATTCAAAAATTCGTATGTTTGAAAGCTTTGAAAAGTGTAAAAAATCACTAAAACTGCAAAAAATTTTGCCTTGCAGGGAAATTTTTTGCTCGGTATGTAGGTTCATTTTTACCCATAAATCCGATAAGTTAGTTTTTTTTGGCTCACCCTACTGTATAATATTAGATTTTTGTAAAATTTTGGCAAAATTCTAATTCCAAATTTAATAAATATTTTTGTTGGCTTATTTGAAATAGCAAAACTACTAAAATTGTTTTTAAAACACATTATATGTATTATACATAATGGTAGTAAAATATACTTTTTTCAATATCAATAATCTTAAATTATTTTCTTAAATTCCATCTTCCTAATTCTCAGATTTTTGATAAGAAAAAGTTTAAAAACATAAAAATGTATAATCGTTATCTATATTATTAGAGGCCGAATTTCAGGCAAAATACTAATTCTAAATCTGATTAAATTTATCACTAAATTAGTTTATTTATATATCTTATATTTTGCCTAATTTTGTTGCTTATAAATTGTGTCTCCAGTTATCATTTTTAAAATTTGTGTAAACTCTCATCAAAAATTGTTTACATAAACAATCTTTATACACTTTTTGATTTTTAAATTTAGTTTGTTGATATTCTTACGGAATTTAGGTATCTTCCTATATTTTAACTTTATTTGTTCCAAACATCCATATCAATTTTTTAAAATTAATATTTTATTTTCAGTCCCCCCAAGGAAAGCACAGAACTAATAGACAACAAATTCGCGATCCTAGAAGCCGAACAACTCCTCCTCCAAGAAGCAGAGAAACTAATCAAGCAGAACCGCCACAACTCCAAAGAAATCCCCAAAGAAAACCAGGACTTTCTTGAGGGCCAACGCAAATCCACCCCCACCAAATTCATTCTGCCTTTGGAGGACGAGGGGTACAACAAGAACTGCCCTTCGCCGTACGACAACAAATTGGAGAACAGCTCGCACAGTTTCAACAGTTCTTCGGAGTACAACAGGGGTTACCAGAGCGAGGAGGAGAAGGCGAGAATGGATAAGTTAAGGAAGGAGAAGAAGGACATTATGGCTGTTATATCCAGGATTAAGAGGCAAATGGCTGAAATTGAGATACAGGAGGAAGAATTACACAGAGAGGTGAGATTTTTTTTGTCCAATATTTTGTACCTTACTGAATTTGTCTCTTGTTTATTTATTTATAGATACAATTGGAAAAGGCCCTCTTATCGGGAGAGCTAAAATCAAAGCAGCTAGAAATCGAGAAAAACGAGGCAAAAAAAGAAAAACTCCAAACTCGCGCGCAAAAAATCGAAGACAACATGAAAGTGAGCCAAGTCAAACAGGAGGAAGACCAGGAAAAATGCAAAGAAAAACTGAACGAAGCGCAAGATCACATGAACGAAATGGAAGAAAAACTCGCAAAAACCGAAAAGAACACCGCTGAATATGAACAAGTATTCCAAGAGTATATGCAAGCACAAGAAGACCTCGATAACGAGAAGAAAACCTTTGAAGATTTGGAATTTCATCACCTAGAAGAGGAAGCTGATTGGTTAGCGAGCAGAGAGGAACTGCAGAGGGAAATAAGCGATTTAACTGCCAAAAACGAAGGTTTAGAACAAAACATCGACGAACTGGAAACGGAGAAAAACAACCTCACAAAATCCAACACGGCGGAGTACAAAACAATAGAAAAACAAAAGCTAGAATGCCTGCTGCGATTGGAAGAGATCAGGAACAGACTAAAAACAATCGACAGCGAATTACTCGCGTGTTCGAATCAGGAATCCGAGCAAGAAATATCCAGCGATAGCGAAAGCGATAAGAGCAAAGATATCGAGAAGCATTTTTCGAATTTGTCACTGAACCAAATAACAGACATGAGCTGTTCGGTGATTGTGAGCAGTCAGAAAATACCTGAGCATGTATCGAACATGTCGCAATCTTTCAACGAGAAATTGCTGCAGGAAAAGTCGATTCTAGAGGAAGGAATTGGTAAGTTCAAACATTTTATTTGTTATATGACAAAAAATTTGGTCAATTAATTACGAATTCAGCTTTGCTGTAAAGTGTTTTAAAATTTCCGGAAAAATTGAACCGGCAAAAAGAATCGTTTTTTTCCGAGTAAACACGGGGAAAAACGAAAAAAATAGAAAATAAAAAAAATTTCTTTTGCCTTTTTTTCGTATTATACGTAGAACGAATCGGAAAATTTTCCCAAGTTTTCGAATTTTCAGATAAATTGATTTTTGCATTTGAGGAGCATGCTTCCAAAATGCGTTTTGTCCAAAAATTTAAGTGAAACTAAGGCGCATCTTCTAAGGGTATCCTGTACATTCTATGTAAATCTAAGAAAGTAGGACAAAGTGCATTTTGTCCTATACACAGACTATCAAAAAGCGTTTTGTTTTTTTTCTACGCCATTGTTGCCAGATCACACAGCACAATAAAATCACTAGAAAAGTACTGAAGCTTTATTCTGAAATAGGAAAAGTAAGTAAATTAAGGTTGAAGTGGACAACTGATTACAATTTAAAAGCGGCTTAGACATATTTTAATAAAATTAATGGAATCGGTAAAGCAAACCAAATTTATTTAAAAGGACATTAATGGGACTTCGTTTTTTATATAAAGTTAAACTTTTTAAAATGTATTTTTTTTACTATAAAAAAGTCTATTATTTCCAAACAAACTGAGTTTAGAACTTTTTCAGATTTCTGAAATCCTTAAAGGATACATATTTTTGAGGACTTCTTTTCCCAAATTTACCGGCATCTTGAATTCTGCTCCAAATATATCAGTTACTTCACACAAAACTTGTGTTTCCTGGAAATTATGCAATTTGGACAAAACGCATTTATTTTAAGCGTGTTTTTTATCGAGCTTTTAAAACATCACAAGCATTTTAAACTAAAATTCTAAATTCGTAATAATAACCAAAAAATTCGTTAAAAAAATTGTTTTTAACAGTCGATAAATCGACTATCTTCAGTAAAGTTGATGTGGATAGTTATTTCTGTGCTTTTATTGTTGGTTATTTTTATCTCAGTGGAATAATTGGGCCAAAATAATATTGTTTTATCCTTTTTATTGTACAATTGTTATACACAAATTGTTAAAACGAAACGTAAAAGAATTGCGCTTCCAGAATACAACTAATTATTTCACAGTTCTAATATTATTTTTCTTTTCTATCAATATTGTATTAAACAGCCTAACGTAATTTCTTTTTGATACATAGTTACGAAAAATAAAAATCACAGCGCTCTTACGTTAACAACCTAAATATTTCAAAAATTTTCTTTTGATTTGATAAAAAATGGTTTATTCTATTGTGGAGAGAGTGGAAATATATTATATTATAAAATATAATGACTATTATGGCTATTATGACTATTCTGAAATTTTTTTAATTTTCTGTTTAAAATTCTTGTGATGTTTTAAAATCTAGAAAAACTAAAAAACCTATTTTTTTATTTGCGGAAAAAATGTTTTTTTTGGGAAAAAAAGTTATGAACCAAGTAAAAATAATTTATTTATGATTATTTCCCTCAATATAATATGAACCAATCAAAAGCCTTGAATTTTCGAATAAATTTCGTTTAAATGAGCGATTAAATCACTAGACCTTTTTAACAGCGACTATTTCCCTCGTCTTAATTTCCACCAATCACAAACGCGCAATTTTGAATTACAAATGGTTTCTAGGTGAAAAAACTGTGTGACAGCACCTGTCAGCAGTTTATTCGAGTTTACCCGCGGCCACGGTCTTATATACAGGTCCTGCAACTTTAAGCTTCGAGGTGGCTTCCTTAACGTGCCAAGCCGCTAGGTGGCGCTAAGATCGAAGGGGTAAAGTCAATTAAACTACTACTTAGTTAAATGTGGAACTACTGCATAACCATAACCTAACTTTTTAAATTCTTTTTCTATGTTTTGTTTACATTTTTAAAAATTTAATATTTGTGAGTTTGTTTCGGATAATTTACGTTAACAAAATAGGACAACAAACTCTATAGGTACTCTATGCACAAAGTCCTCGGCCGTCACATGCCCAGACCAAACATGTACATAAGTAAAACATGTTAATGTATAAAATACATACGTATATCATATATATGTTACGGCTAATGTGTAAACATGGATAGTTTATAAAGTAGCTGGGTAGTTTATAAACTAGCCAAACTGTCAGCTATTTTAATTGAAAACGTATTTTTAACTAAATTAGCGTCTAGTTTGTAAACCAATCAAGGGTCTTGGCTAATTTACTTGAAATTATTTAGGAATAGCTGGATAATTTGTAAACTATCCAATTCAATTTGGCTAATATGAAAACCAAAATTTCTAGTAACACAACAAACTAACCAACCAATATTCTGGCTAATTTATTAATAACCGATTTTTTTATTGTCTTGGCGGGGATGGGTTGATTGTTTATTTAAAATAATATATATTTCACCAACACGATGTGCTTAATTATAAATTAATCATACAAAATGTGAAGGTTTCAATAGTATGTTTTTTATTGCACATTGCCATGTTTTTAACTGCTCCTTATTTGTTGGCACTTTTAACATGGACCGCTTAATTTTAATGCCGGAACGATGGCTTTGCTGGTTACATTTTGGCACAACACAGGACTTCATGTCTATTAAAAAGCACAAATACAAATGTATAACAAGAACAAATATAACAAAAACAAATATAACAAGAACAAATATAACAAGAAAAAATAGAACAATATAATATAACAATAACGAATATCACAATAACAATAAGTAAAAACTCCCTGTAACAAAACACACAAGCTTGTTTATAAAAATGTAGGTTATGTTTCTTAACACAGCTGTGAACATAAGTAGGTAGTTCATTTGACTTTTATCCCATAGACTTTAAGGACTTAGAGCCAGTTTTACAATCGTTAGATTAAGTTAGCTTATTTGGCGGATAACTTTCATAGAAACCTTCTATCCAAGAAAATTATCCACCAGAGAGCTTATCTAACGATTGTAAAACCCAAAGATAAAGAAGGTAAAAACGACCTTTAAACATCTATGGTTTACAGGGGTGTTCCTGAAACTTTGCAAATTGTGCAGCCATCTAGCGTGAAATTGTACTAACTAAGATCAAATTGTACTAACTTATCGCGAAAATTCAAAACTTGTCCAAATTTGATTAATATCAGATTTCTGCTCCCAGAATCACCATTGCATATGTAAAATTATAATAAATGAACAAGTATACTGGCGCTTTGGTTTTTCCTATGAAAAATCTACAAACTGGGTTTAGTTGTGTGATTATTTAGGAAGGACAGTCTGTCGGCGTCAGCAACAGGATTTATAGGTTAGGTTAGTGATGACTTGACGTTGACTCCTTGCGCCATATTCCCTCCTTAAAAGATTATATAATAATATAATCTTCTTATTCCCTCTATAGAAAAACTTTCTCTATAACGAAGGCTCAGTTACCAACAGAAAAAAAGTTGATAGAAATTTTGTCCCAATTTGGGGATTCGATCGAGAACGATCGATTTATTATTTTTTTCTAATTGAAGGCAATTTTGAAAATTGTACTAGAATTGCCGAAGAGGTGCTGACGTACTAGAAGCTATTTTTTTGTACTAGAAAAGTACAATTGTACTAAAAATCACACCCCTGATGGTTTACCACCCAACTCGATGCGCCATCTGGTGGGTGTCTCATTAGAGAGGTCACTTTTCCTATTGAAATTGGGCGAAGTTGCAGGACCTGTATATAAGACCGTGCCCGCGGCAAAACTTGACAGCTGTTGTCAACAAAAATTTCAATTTATATTTTAATTGTTAACTGTTACTCATGAAATAGTCTTGTCAAATACCATTCGGGCATCTAATTTTTCCTGTGAAAAAAATCGAAAAAACACAATGCTAAGTAATATTTTTTAACAAAAAGCATTCGTGCAGGTGCAAAAATCCTCCTCTTCGACTCGGATTTTTGTTGCCACCAGCACTCATGCTTTTTGTTAAAATATTACTTAGCAACGTGTTTTTTCGATTCTTTTCGGAAAAATTAAATGCCCTTATGATATTACTTACGATTAAATTTTAGCCTCCATATTGGATTTTTGTTTACGATTTTATGGTGTTATTTACAAGTTTTAACAAACATTTTTTAAAAAACAATAAAAAATAAGTTATCTAGTTTACGAAATATCAATTATTACTTATTACATACCTTAAATTAATGGAATTTTCTTTAAAAAAATATTTATAAACTTTGACACATACGTCAGATTTTATGAATGGTCAAATAGTTTCCTTTAATTCGAGAAATAATCACTCAACCTATAAATTTAATCTGTCAAACTATGCTCAGTAAGTTTTTTATTTGATTTTTCTTTTTGGAAAATAGTTTCATGCAAAATAATTAAAAATAATTAATAAAAATTTATTAAATTATTTTGCATTCAACATTTTCCAACAAAAACCAAACAAAAAACTATTGAGCCTGGTTTACCCGATTAAATTCATAGTTCTCGTGATATAATATATGAATAAATAACATAAAAAATACCTTTTATTAAAATATTATTCTTTAAAATTATATAAAAACTCAATTTTTCCGTTTTTTTTTTCGACGCTTTAAAATGCTAGTTTATTATTAAAAATGTCCAATAAAGAGAGTAAAACTCTTTTTCAAATATTTTTTCTTTTTCAGCAAAAAGGTTTCCTAGTCAAGACGATATCGACAGATTTAGCAAGGTGACATCAGATTCCCCTATAAATATAAATGAAAGTCAAGGATCTCTAGGTAAAAAGACCATTGAATCCCTTAGAGAAATTGAGAGGAATAGGCATATACATTTATGCCAGCAAGGTAAGTTAAACGAATTCAATTTCGATCAAAAATATTTTTACCTTTATTGTTTGACTTTAAGGTTCTCAGGTAATAGAGCAAGAAAGACAAAGAGTTCAAGCTCTAAAACAAAAAGTACAAGAAGAAGTTAGGATTGAGTGGGCTCAGAGGAACCAGGAAGATTTTAACTCGATTATTTCTTATGAATCTGAAACAAGACAGTCAAGGTATGTTTTTTTACATTCAACTTTATTTTTTGAACTTTTAATACATTATAGTTTTCATGTAAATGTTATGACATAAACTAGTGTTAAATAAATTATAAACGTGTCCAAGTTAAAAAAAAATTTTCCAAGGTTTCTTCTTGTCAAAACAAATGTTATATTTGAGTTCCAATGGGCAGCTGATACTAAAAAGTTATTTTTATTGTTATTTTAAACGTTTTATGCGCTTTAAAAAATTGCGAATTTCTGTTATTGTCTTGAAAAAGTTATAATTCAATTTGAAAACACAATTTGATTATTTCGTGAAAATGGGCTTTTTTATTGTACACATCAGGCGGAAATTTATTTTGCAAAAATAAAAAAGTTTACATGACATTTCCAAAATAAACCTATCAGAGCACAGCATTCTTCATCGCACCTAGTGTGCTGTGGAGAATGCCGTGCTGTGGTTGGTTTATTGCTTTCAAAAGTTATAGCTTATTTTTGACATCTGTCACATGTCATTTAGACGTGGTTTTTGAAAAAATTACATCGGTTAAACAAATAAAAAGGGGGATTTTTAGGCCTATAACAGATGCCAAAAATGAACCATGTCAGATGTCAAAAATGACAAATGTCAGTAATGACAGATAACAGATGTCAGCTCATTTTGTTTGGTATTTTCGTTTTAAAATTTTTGTCATCTGTCACCTTTCATTTTTGACATGTGTCACCTGGTACTTTTTTAGCCGCATCAAAGTTCAATTATTTAATTCTTAGCACCTAGGCAACATAAAAATTTAAAACATGTGGTCATGATCAAACATTGAAATAAACTCTTAAATTTCTCCTTCTAAAACAATAAAAGATAGACAAATTCAAATTATATTTTTGAAATAATCTTAAAAAGTTAACGCTAAAAACAAACTTAAGAGAAAAATGACGCAACTTAAAAAAGTGTTAACAAAAAATATCATATCATTCTCAAAGAGTAGGGCCCACAAATCGTAGATCCGCCTCTGTCAAAAAGGGTTACCTAGGTAGCTAAGGTTAGGTTTAAATGCTAGAATTCCAAATTTCAAATAAAGTTGTTAAATGTTGTAAATTGTACTCATAAAATGCGATTTGTTTGGTTCTAATTTAGGACATAACCTGTACATAATCTAAAAAACAAGTAGTAAGTTATGATCAGCTTGCAAAGACCTTTTAAATGATATGTCACACAGTGGCGGCTGGTTGGGTTATTATAAACTCATAAATTTGGTGTGGGTCCCATGTCTAATAACTAAAATATTGGTATACCCAAAATCCACCAGCCGCCACTGATGTCACATGACCCCACATCCCATGGAAAAAATGTGACCTTTTGACAGTACGACGCCATTTTTTAAATTTTTCAGAATTTTTTAATGTCAAAAAGTATTTAATTTCTTGTTTAACATAATTTCCAACGGTTTAAAAGCTATTTTTTATTTTAAGCAGTGGCTTTTGGGCATTTTAATCACTGGCTGAAGTTAGCTTTATTATAAATTGGAAAAAATCGAGGTTAAATCCGTTGACAGTTGACAGATGTCAAAATTTTAACAGATAAAATTGGCTTTAAATTCTTTGTGTTCGTCATAGATAAAGTATAATATGCAACTCGTTTTATAAACTTCGCCAGACACTCGTTTTTATTAAACACTCGCTCGTAACTAAAATGGCGTTGTTGTTTCTAACAAAAAATCTCAAAATCACAAAAAATTGCACATACCCCCTTTGGTACCACGCCTCAATTGTTGATCAAGAATTTTTTATTCTTTAATTAATCATAAAAAATCTATATTTTATTAACCTTATTTTTATCAGTATAATCTAATCTAAACATTAATACTGGCTAAAATATGTGATTATGAATCACATTAAAACATGTACAACTTTTGTAGATTATGTTGGTAAGTTAATATTAAACCTGAATAATATTTTACTCCAGTATTAAACTACATCAATTTAATTTAATTTAAATGTCAAACATAAGATTATTTGAAATAAAAACTGTAAACTTGGCAAATCCAAAAATTGTTGGCCAATTCAGTAACCATTAATAATTCATTAAGACAGTAACAACTTATTGTGTTTAAATACCTATTTTTATTAACCATTTGTTCACTGATTTTGCAAAAGCTGTTTATTTAAACTTGTTTGCACCATTTATTTGTCTTACGGACCTGAAAGCATATAGAGCGTGATAAATAGAAGGTCGCAAAATTCATTGAGAACTGTGAACCGTTGAAAACAAAATAATTAGGTGACATAATTCCTAAATGATGCCAATAATGTCACTGTTTCATATTAGTTACCTGGATATTTAGTTTTAATGATAATTTGTTAAATTAGGATGATTCTTTGTGTTCAAATTTTGTTCCCTTAGTTTTTGTAATTTTGTGGCATATTTGACGCAACAGGTGGCCAATATAATTTAAGAGACTAAAAATATTATTTTTAACGCATGAAAATGTTTTTTCATGAGCATTTAATGGATTTGGCTTAAAAATAAGCATGTACACCTGTGAATGATAAAAATGCGTCGACTTTAAGTAAATAAAATATTAATTTAAACTGTCCATGATTTTAAATAAATGAAATAAGCACTGATGTGCCTTGGTATTAAATATAATATTAATCTTTGGCAGATGTTGATGAAAAATTAATATAATTAACGGACTAATCACAAAACCGCAGCTAGATTTTTGTTTTATATGAAACTGATGAAATCTACAGATTATTGTGCGAGTGGAGTTTGGGGCACAAGCGTAGCGAGTGAGGTAACACGCAAGTGGAATCTCCTCTTTTGACCAATATATATTAAACTACAACAAGCCAATTTTATTTGATATTTTCTTTGACATCTGACAGCTGTCAAGCAAGTTTAACCTAACTTTTTTCCAATTTTAACTTTTAAGCTAACTTTAGCCCATGCTATTTCTCTCACTAGTGGGAGAAGTAAAATTTCGCCCATCGGTTAAAGTTAAGAAACAAAATGGGCGTTGAATAAAAAATATTATTTTCTTTTCAGTGTTGTCAGCGGAATGGATATCGATCAAAAAAATGAACAAAATTCAGCCAACAGTATTTCTGAAGATCAAATAAACTTGGTGAGTAAAATATTATTATATTTTTATTACAATTTTTTTCACCTGTTAACTGTTAAAAGTAACCGCTTTATTTGTCAATTTTTACACGTATTATTATATATTTGATGATATATTATATTATTGCGCCATAAAAATATTTTATTAATTTTTTTAAAATAATTATTTTATAAATTTTTTTCAGATTCAAATTTTAGTTTAATTTCATAAGATATTAAAATCAAAATGCTCTTCAGAAGATCAAATTATCGAAATTTCTAATCTTACTATTAGTTAGTTGTAAATTTAAATTTTTAATATTTTGACAAAGATAAATAATTGATTTTTTTTTGAGTTGGTTTTCAAAATGGCCCATGATGGGATCAAACGCAGAATAATTTCAATTAACAAAAAAATAAAAACAACTATAACTAAGAACATGGGGTAAAATATGCTTTATAAGGAGGCTGTCCATACAAAATTTCAAGGGGTGATTCTATAGTGAAAAAATTTAAAAAAAGTTCCAACAAAAATGGGATCACAAGGAAGCTGCGCCCCTTTGAACATGGTACTTTGAACTTTAGAACGCAAAGCCACAAATTTCCAAAGCGATTTTTGTAAAAAAACCTTTTAAACCTTATTTGTGTAAAATTAAATCTATACTCATAAAATGAAACCAAAATATATGTATACTAAACTGGGCCAAAAAAATCAACTATTTTTTTTTGAAAAGTATTGCGAAAATATGGTTTGGGGTGACAAAAAAAAATTATTGTGAAAGTTTGAGTCCATAATATTAATATTAAGAGGTCTATCATCGCAATTTTAATTTTTTTTCCTCACAAGTTTTTGTCTTAGAACTCCCAAACCATTGAATTTAACAAAATTGACTCGAAAATATTTTTTTAAGAAAATTAAATGCTCTACAAAAAAGGTTAAAGTGAAATTTTCCGTCAGATGAACCGTTTCCTTAAAATCATGCCTTAAAAATTGGTATAGTTTTACATTTTGATCTTTTAAATTGGAATTTTGTAATTCATGTAAAAATCAGTACCTACCCATAAAAAAACCGATAAATATTCTTATGAGAAATCAAATGCTTTTGGCTAAATTCACTCAATCAAAAGTTATTCAAGGTAACAATTTTGTTTTTACTTCAAATTTAACCTTGAATAACTTTTGATGGAGTGAATTTATCCAAAAATGATAAAAGGCTTTTTTTGTAGAGCATTTGATTTTCCATAAGAATATTTATCGGTTTTTTTTCAGGGTACTAATTTTTACATGAATTACAAAATTGCAAAGTTAAAAGATCAAAATGTAAAACTATACCAATTTTTAAGGCATGATTGTTGTTCATCTGACGGGAAATTCCAATCAAACCTTTTTTGTAGAGCATTCAATTTTCTTCAAAAAATATTCTTAAGTCAATTTTGTTAAACTCAATGATTTGGGAGTTCTGACACAAAAACTCGCTCAGGAAAAAAAAATCTAAAATTGCGATGATAGACCTCTTAATATTAATATTATGGACTCAAACTTTCACCATAATTTTTTTTTGTCACCCCAAACAATATTTTCGATATACTTTACAAAAAAAAATAGTTTATTTTTTTTGGCCCAGTCTAATGTATACACTTTAATTTAACTCAAAAACACCCATGACCCCTTTTTTTGGGTCCCCCTAACAATATGTCAATATTGGGTCTACAACAGAAAAGTTTTATTCGTTAACTGTAGTGTGTGTGCTAAAATGTATTATTAAATTTATTGTTAAAGTTGGTACATCAAAAAAATTAAAATAAGAAATTTTAGTCCAATCAAAAGTTTTCGGCTTCAAAAAAGGTGGATTTGGCATGGAATGCCCCATATACATATTAAAACCCAAATTTAAACTTCCTTTGTTTATATCTATTTAAAATAAACTTAAATTAAAAATATTTAGTTGTGTCATTCTGTTATTAGAAAACTATTTAATTTGTGACGCATTTTAAAGAATGCGTTTTCCAAATATTTATTGAAGTTCTATTTTAAAAATTAAAATTATTTTTATATAGTAAACAATTATAATGGTATTTTATAGTTTCTTTTGGTATTGTTAAATATTTTTTTATGGTATAAATAAGATTAAAAAAAATAAAAGATTTTTTACAGACCAAAAGATAATCAAATAATTTGGAGTGAGCGTTGACATTAATAAAGCTTAAATTATAGAACCTTAAAATAATAAAAATAAAATTCAGTTTTAAAACTACTACGCAAAAATTTTTGTATAATTTTTTAATACCCAAATTAACCTTCAGTAGGTAGGTATACAAAAGAAGTTTAAGTAATTTTTGTATTATACATATCATGCAAAAAAACCTAATTTAAAAAACTGGTAAACTCGTAAAATCTTTGACTAAAATAACTTAAGCCCCTCACATAAACATGCAAGTGTATATTGAAATTGCTTGGACTGTAAACTATATGGTCGCCTAAATTTATCTTTTCAGTGATATAACGCACTTTGAAATTGTATTTTTAGCTGCGAATTGATTCATGTCGGTAATTTGTATGTTTTTCTGGGGCGAGAAATTGTTTGACATGAAGCTTCCGATTGTTCCATGCTTGCAAGCCGTCGTCACCGGCTTCAAAAAATATGACGGGTTTCCGGTGTCAAATGCATAATTATTCGTTTCTTAGAAATAGGTGATTTTTAAGAGCGAAGGCATAATTTTGTGTTAGGAGTCTTATGAAATATTTATTGTATTTATTAGAGTGTTTCCTTTCGAAATCACTGTAATTTCTACTGTGTCAAACGTCAACATTATCTCAGTTTTTTTTATTCGGAATAGGACGTCAAAAATTTGAAGGATTAGTTTGTTAATTCTAGGGACCCTAAATTTGTAATTGTATACATTGAGTAAAACAAAATAATTTAGTGGAGAATATAATTATTGTTATGTTATATGGGGTTATGTTTATAAGTTTTTTTTAAGTTGTTAAAAATGGTAGTACTTTACCCTTGATGAAATATAGGTAACTTTACGGTCCAGAAATTTTTTTTCGTTTGGAATTTTCTGTTATCTTTGGCCCTGTTTATTAAAATTAAGGCCTTGAACAGGAGTACCAATTTTAAATATTTAAAATACCAAAGTATGTTGACATACGTACCAACAATATAAATGTGTAAAATTCTGAATATAAAAATAATTAATAATAATCAATAATTCAAATGTAATTACAGAATTATTAAAACATTGCAAAAAAATAGTATGCACTATATTTTATACAGTTTCTCTGATTTTAATCGGGAAAATTTAGTACTTGATAGAACTAAAAAAACTGAGAAGAGTTTAAATATCTTTAAAAAAATATTTATTTAATTATATTTAAAAAACTTCTTGGCCGAACCATTTAGGTTTTTAGCAATGGGTAAACATTTTTGCTAATATGCAAAAGAAAATCTCGAAAACAAACGATTCCTAAGAACTGTCGAAATTTCCTTTACCATTTTTTTAAATGCGGGAGTTATTTTATTTTTAAATCCACCAATGAGAGCGCTGTAATTCTGCTCTATTGCTCTATTGTTATATTGTTAGTGTTTGCAAAAGACGCTGATATTCTATTATTGGGAAGTCAAAAGGGAGGGCTCGCCCTATAGAGCAGAAACACTGGGCAATTTTGCAAATTCGAAAAATGCTAATTAAAATTTTGCCTTAGATTTTTGCAATGAATTCGTTTAGTCTTGTAATTTTGGGCCACCCTGTATATAAATACATTTTGTTGTTTCTGAAATATAATTAATATTTTGCGCATTGCATTTTGAATACATTAGATTTTATAGATTTCGTCAATGATTTTACTATAAACAATTGTTAAAAACAAAATTTAATGATCTTGGCAATATTTCAATTTTTCATTAATGGACATAGATCAATATTGTTTACAAACAAGGTACTTAAACTATTTTATACACCCAAGAATTTCAAATTTAAAGCATTGTTTGTGGCTAACAAAGTATAAATTGTTTGAGTAATTATTTAAAGTAATTGTTACGTAATCCAGCAAAAATTTGGCATAATATTCTGTTATTTGCAAAAAGGAAATACGTTTCCTTTTGCACATAAACACCTCCCCGCATTGTTAAATTTAGTTAGCTTATACATGAAACAATTTTAATTGATTTTACGTTTAATACAATTTAAATTAGGAATTCCTATTAAATAAATATTATGGCAAATTTCAACGTCGAAAACAACTTAAAATAGTAACGAAAACAAGGTTAGGTACAATATATTTTGTATGGTACCTAGAGGTACCTTATTTTTATGGTACCTATAGGTACCTTATTTTTTATGATTTGATTTAAAATAAATTAAAATATAGTAGGTATGGCAATTTTTATTTAAATTGTTATTTTTTTAATTTTAGAGTGTTTCTTAAGCCCATCAATTTTACTAAAATTGTAAACAAGTCGTATGTTTTGGCATTTAAAGTTAAAGGGGTTCAAAAACTAAAAATACCACAAAACAAAATGCATTCTATTTTATGCTATTTAAATTTTTCTATTTCATAAGCCTTTTATTCAATTTTATTATACTTAACTTCAATCGTTGGTCCGCGGCCAAAACATGAAATACTTTTAGTTGACGCAAGGTGTTCAAATACCTATCACTGAACTGTTCAATATTTAAATATTTACTCTAATTCCGATAAAATATTTACGATTAAACCGTGTTCATCTCTAATTAAGGTCACTGTTCGAATAATTTAAATTTGGCACTGACTATTTTTGTTTGGCATTCTGGCTTTAATTTTTTTCTAAACATGTGGGTCAGTGAATCAAATAATCTTAATTGGCTCAATTAACAACCATTTGTTTGTGTTACTTTTGATTTTAAAGTCGATTTATTATTAAAATGCAGAAAAAATATGCATAAGTATTTGATCTTTGATTGGGCTTTAGTAGGAACAAAATATTTGTTTGTTATCATTTTCTGAAAAATCATGTTTCCATGTCTACTAAGGTCAATGAATTATCTTGATATTTGCTACTTTACTTTCTATAAAAAATTATGTCTATGGAAAGCAATACACCAATTAGGACACGGCATTCTCTACGGTATATAGTGTGCTGTGGATAATGCCGTGCTCTGTTTGGTTTATTGCTTTCCATAGATATATTTTGTTATAGCTTGTAAAATCGCAAATTTCATCAATTTTGAAATTTTTAAAATTTGTCCCACTATTTTTTGATTTTGAACTACTGTGCAAATTTGTCCTCCCATTTTTAAATGTATTCTATCCCAAGTAGCATTTTTAGTGGATCAAACGTATCGGCCACTTATACTTGGAACTGTAAGTTGTGACTAAAATGGGGAACACTTTTTTAGTGTCAGTTTCAACAACGTTCTTGAATTTTATACAGACATGTTTATACCACGTTGTGATTACGTTTCTATAACGTGAAGGTGTAGTGGCCAAAACTTCATGCTCTCCTAATAATTAAAACCGTCTTATGCTAAATCTGGGGACACCTGCTTTTAAAAGCTGTTCAGATACAAACTTAGACATTTTGTACTGCACGTTTAAATAAATTACCCTATATTCCGAAACATTGAGGTTGTTTTTCCAATTAAACTCAATGTTTAGGTACTTAGACTGTTTAAGTTACACATGAGTGTATATTTAGTTCATTTAACTTACTCATTGATTTGAAATTTTGCGGGATATTTTTTGATTAGACTAACATAATAACATAAACATTTGCTTGAACCAATACCACAAATTTCATATAATTCGGTCAGTCTCAATCTAAGAGTCGGTAGTGAACAATTTACTATTATAATAATAATTGTGGAAAATATTTTTTTTTATTAAGATGTCGCTTTGGATGACTTTTGTGAAATACAAGTATTATACTAAACAAAGACCTATAAAAAATCGCAGAAGAAAAATATTGTATGTAAGTAACAGTTTACAGTGTGACCCATTTGTTTGCGACTCACCCCTGTAAAATCTTTATTTATTGTGCGATTTTAACCGGATTTGTTTTAAAGTGTAGGTCTTAATAAACTGTATTTTCGGAGCGTCATATTTTACAAAATACAAGAAAAATGCACAATAATAACTACAAAAATTTATTTGGTCAAGTTATCCATGAAAAAACATTGAAATAAAATTAAACTTATAGTAATAGTACCATGTTACTATTAGTTTAATTTTATTTCAATGTTTTTTCATGGATAACTTGACAGAATAAGTTTTTGTACTTAAAATTTTTCAATAAAATTTATTTTAGGTTCGTTTTGAGGGGTGGTGAATCTAGGGCCGTGCTTAGATTTTGTTTAAAAAAATCGCTAATATGAATTCTTAAAAATTTACTCTTAAAAACTGACATAGTAGGATTTGTATTTTGTAAAAATATGGCGTTTTTTGCTCCAAAAATACAGTTTATCAAGACCTAAATTATAAAACAAATCCGGTTAAAACATAAATAAAGATTTTACAGGGGTGAATCGCAAACAAATGGATCACACTGTATCTAAACAAAAGATAGTATGAAAAACAAACAAAAAGTTGATATTTCCCAAAATTCAATATTTTAAAGTTTATTAAAAAAATTTCTTGTCGGACTTTTTATGTGAAAGCGTAATTGTCTCGTGTGGTGTGAATATTTAATAAATATGAATTCAATAGGGGAGATTGAGATGCGTGGTCACGTTTTTTAACCATGCATTTGGGGAGCCTTGTTGTCGTTTTATAAAATTAGTTTGTCGTAAAATTTTTAATAGTTACGCATATTTCAGAGTAATATCTTCTAAAAAATTTAACGATGCTAATAAATTATTTTATAGTTTATCATAAACTACATATAACTATGAATATGTTGAGTCTTTATTTAATTCTATTTTTTTTACATAATATACAAATATAATTATATTTGTATATTATGTATTTAAAAAAAAATAGGTACTCAGTAATAATATTTTAATTTAAATATTGTAAAATGTAGACAAAAACGCTTTTTTGTGCGTCGATGTTCGATTATTTTTGTCTCAGCCTGCGCGACTCAAAAGATTTTAGTTACGCATCTGACGCGGTGAGATTAACTTTGACTGGGAAGAGCACACGTTTTAGATTTTTCGCTACTTTTCTTAAAATTCTTTTTTATTTTGCTTGTGTAACTTAAAAATGTCTTTGTGGATAACTTTTGTACGATATGGCAGTAAACCATATAAGAAGAGGGACTCATTAAAAAATGTAAGTTTGTTTTTAGAGAAAAATTTTGTTATTTTAATTTTGAACTTGAATGCATAAGAAGTTTTATGAATGATGGCAAACATATAGTTGTAATTATTAAACTTCTATTTCAAAAATATAGCAAAATTAAAGAATATTTGGAAAATTAATTAAATGTTCTAAATATTCTTTAATTTTGCCATATTTTTACATAAATTCTTAAGTAAAAAGTCGTGGCGTACATATTTTTTCACTTAATTTTTGAGCACCCTGTATATTAAAAAACAAGTGAATTCCATACACACATTTTATGGGTTTTATTTAATTTTACGCAAAAAGGTACTCTTGTTTAAACGGTCTTTAAAGAAAAATCGCTTTGAAAATGTTTGGTTCTACTCTTTGTACATTTTAATCCAGACAATTGAAATAATATTTTCTTAAATTTATTCCGGTACCAGCCGATGCCGCTTAAATTTTGGCACAATCTTTAAATTCGGTGGTCTATTTTTATTAAAAGAAGTTTTTCAAGTCACTTTATATATAAACTTAGTTTACAATAAAATTTTATTTTAAAAGAACAATTCGTTTCTGGGTTTTATATTGTTTACACGGAGAGAAAAGTATAATGCTGATTACCATAATTATGATACCCTTTACTATAATTTATATTACTATTTGGGACAACTATCTTGTATATTGCCAGATACTATGCATATATTTTAAACCTTAACCCATATGAACCTACCGTTCTTTAACCCATATGAACCTACCGTTCTTTATAAAATATTATTATTCTCAACCAATTTTGTTTTTAATTCTTATTATAATTAAATTTTTTCCATTACTAATAAGTATGGTAAATTTTAAAATATTATGTTGCCATTTTAAATATAAAATATTTTAAAATCGAATATTTTTATATGTTAACAATTAAAAATTGTAACATATTTATTGTACTTTTTAATATACAAAAATGTTATGAGAAAGAATTGAACTTACACCTCGCCAAAGTTTTTTGTTTTGAGTGCCATCAACTTCAAATACCGACAGACAGGTGTTTTGACCTATATTGGGTATCATCAGTGTCCACACGACACTGTCGAGCAACTTGTAGTAGTGGAACACACCCAAAACAAAGAAATACCTGAGCGTATATAACATAGTTGGTAAGCCAACAGAGGCGAGATGTAAGAACATCACGTGATCCACACCGTCTAACGACGCGTCGCGACGTGGCCTTTGCCGCAATCGGTACATACTATGCAACCAAGTAGGTTCAATTATTTCTTATAAGTATTACCAGTAATGGGTCAAGAAAGTTTATTTAAGAAACTAAGAAAATTGAATGTTTAAAATGTCATGAGTTACTATATTGTATATTATATTTAAATATATTGTTTATTTACCTTAAACATAAAAGTATCTTTATTTTTACTATATTTTTTATTAATGTGTAATATATTATAATATTAGATGTGCACCTTACATTTGATTAAATCATATAGTAAATATTACTATTTGTAGATAGTAAAATCAATTTACTATACGAACATATTAAAAATTAAAATATATATTATACATTTATGATTTAGTAATATTGGTGTTGTAATTTTTACTAAAATTGTATAATAAAAAATAGTATTTTGTATTACAATCTTAATATTGTATTGACGAATATATAATATTGTTATCCTAAAAATTTGTTAAAGTAAATTTTACTATATTTTTTTTACTATCTAAAATTTACTATACATTTCTCTCCGTGTATAATATACATGTACCTATCTATATTTTTAACAAATAAAAAAACTATTTTATCTATATCTAAAAAAATATTTTCTTACAGAACCGTAGCGAGATGGACGCGGATTCTCCGCGCCCCCTATCGGAGACCAGCGAAATGAGTCTCGAAGTAGGCACCCTCAACCGAAAGAGAAGCAAACCGATCAGCGACAAGCAGCGACCTCTGACGAGGTACCTACCAATCAGGGGCTCGGATTTGGACTTGAGGCAGCACATCGAATCCGCCGGACATCAAGTAGTCTTGTGTCCGCACGTGCTGATCAACTCGTCGAGTTGCCGGGGATTTTTGCACAAGAAGGGCTCGAAATTGAACGGGTGGTCGAGAAGGTGGTTCGTGTTCGACAGGAATAAGCACACTTTTTCGTATTACAGCGATAAGAGCGAGAAGAAGGCCAGGGGAGGCGCGTACTTCCAGGTAAATATCTTTTGCAAATATAACTGCACAAATTAAAATCACCTTTGACCCAACAAATTCCATGCTTGACTTTGTTAGTCAGATTATTATTTTTATTTGTTGCCTGTACTAATAGCGTATAGCTCTTACTCTCCGCGCTATATCTAGAGGTTAATGATAAAAAACATTGTCTTTGACCAAAATTGTAGAGAATTTTAAGCTCTATAATTTTTGTAATTACATCAAACAACATTTGACTTATAGAAAACGAGGTATTTGCAACAAAAAAAGTATTGCCAGTATGTAAAATGTTGAAAGAAAGATGTATGAAATTTTCAGCTTATAATATATTACCTCTTATTCCGAGGTTGGCTCGTTTTGACTGTACTAATAGTACCTACTCCTATTTAAAAGTACGTTTTTAGCCTTTTTTTTAATCATAATTTATCCCAAACAAGTAGTATTATTAATTATTTAAAATTATATTTTTTCTAATTATTTTTTATTATATTATTAAAAACCTTTAAGTCATAAAAACAGCAGGGTTGCACATAGGCCCGGATTGATATAATAGGCTACGGCAAATTTTGGAAGGCAAACATTTTTTTCGTTTAATAGCAACAAAGTATTAATTTCGCAGAATTTCCTATCTATTATTTCTTATTTTTTAAGTTATGAATTTTCCTACTGTTATTATTGAACTATTTTTAAATAAAAATAAACGTTTGCATAACTTTCGTATTGCATATTATAATTATATTACCTATTTTTAGTTTTGTGAAAAATATATGTAGGTATAGAGGAAAATTTAGAAATTTTAAACAAATACAATTATTTGTCAACATCGAATTTGAATAAAAAAAAATATTTAAAATATATACGAGGTGTGTTCAGAAAATAACGGGAATTGTTAAATTTCGCTGGTTCGGAGGGCCCGGTTGTCATAAAATTTTCTTTATTATGTTGGTATACATGCCCCCGAAGTATGATAAAAACTTTAGCTGTTTTCATTGTTTACTTTGTCTGTGGCAGCCGCTAAGGTTAGACGTGTTTTATGAGCTCGGCGATTTTTCGTTCGTTGAAAGAATTTGTATCCAATTTTGCTTAAAAAATTAAATAAATTCTGTGAAATGTTAACAAAGGCCTATGGTGAGTCTGCTATAAGTAAAACAAGAGTTTACAAGTGGTAAAAGAGTTTCCAAGATGGCCGTGAAGACGTTGAAGATGACGAACGCCCCGAATGCACAAGCACATTAACAACCGATAAAAACATGGAAAAAGTGGAAGAAATGGTTACAAACCATCAGAGAAGTCGCTGATGATGTTGGTATATCGATTGGCTCATCCCAAATTTTTTCGAATGTTTTGGGTATGAAACGCGTGGCAGCAAAATTTGTTCTAATATTGTTAAATTTTGAACAACATTTTTGGCCAAAAACAATACTGTAATGATGCCCCAGCCTTCATATTCGCCAGACATGCTTCTGTCTGACTTTTTCCTATTCCCAAAAATAAAGAGAACCTTAAAGGCCGTCGTTTTGCAAGCATAGATGACATTAAAAGCGCATCGCTGAAAGAACTAAAGGCTATCCCAAAGATCAAGTTTTAGAAGTGTTTCGAGTATTGGAAGAAGAACTGGCACATGTGCATAATATCCAATGGGGACTATTTTAAAGGCGACAACATTAATGTAGACGAATAAATAAATATTTGTTTTAAAAAACGAAAATTCCCGATATTTTCTGAACACACCTCGTATATACATATTTTTGTTTAAAATTACCAATTTTTTTTCTCAGGGCGGCAAATTCGTAAGTCGCCTCTGGGGGCACAGTATTTCGGGTCCCGGGGCAAAAAAATGAGAATGTTTAAATATGTTAAGCAAATCCTAAAGGTTTTTGACCCGCTGATTTTGCATTCACAAAATTAACAAGCTTTTTACAAACACATAATAAATACTTACACAAATAGGATTTAAAACATTGTTCACATATTTGGAATAAAGGCTATTTGCCAAGAATTCCAAATAACCCAAGAAAAACAATGTAAGAAAACTTAACCTAAACCCAAAACACTGATCTGTCAACAATACCATTAAGTTCAAGTCACACTACGATACGTTCATAGCTATCGAATTTCTACAAAAGTTTGTTTTTTAAATTTTTATTTAATTTTCCATAGCGTCTTAAAAAATTCAGAGTGTTTAAGATAACTGAGTATAATAATTTATTTTTATTCGATTGTGGGACAAAATTATATATGCAACTCGTGGAGAATGGTAGATTCTGAACACGCTCTCTTGCCACACTCGTTTCGTTGTTCAAAATACGAAATATCTATGTTTTATTTGTTTAAATTAAGATTAGAATAAAAACATACAATGTATAGAAATCTAATATAATTATAAAATTTACAGTTTAATTGATTATTTTTCAGGCTATTGAAGAAGTGTACTTGGACCACCTAAACAACATAAAATCACCAAACCCACAACTGACATTCATAGTTAAAACTCACGAACGTCTCTACTATTTGATGGCGCCATCTCCCGAGGCGATGCGAATATGGGTGGACGTTATTTTTACTGGTGCTGAAGGTTACAGGGAATTCCAACATGGGACTTGAAATTTTTTGACGTGTTTTGTCTTACATGTTTGATTAATTTATTTTTTAATCGTATGGAATATTACGAATTAAAACGGGATCTATTTATATACAAAAAGTATTTTTATATTACGATTTTATTTTAAATGCGCCCCTAGACGGGTTTTTATCTAGGTATTCGACTAATTTGTACATATAATTAAGACTATTTTATAAAGAAAGAAGTAATTTTGTAATTGAAAATTGTGTATGTTTGTATGTATCTAAAGGTTTTTTAAAGGAATGTAAAACAGTGCCTTTTAAAGAGACTGTATTTTAATTAACGTAGAATTTATTATTACCATATTTTTAAGACTGTTTAAATGAATATAATGTTTTTTTAATGATTAAACATTAATTTTTATGTTTTATTGTAAGAATTGTTAAATAAATCAATTTAATTTTCTTGTAATACCTTGTTTTATTTTTATTTAATGTATACATTCAAAAAATTAATATTTGTTTTATATAATTAATGAATGCAAAGTTCACCAAAAAACAACGATTTATTTAAAGGATAAGGAAAATACAAGAACATTTTAGTTTTAAATTTTTTTAAGCATATAACAATTTTTTTGTTATTCATGAATGATATTTAAAAAGATTCCAGGGGGGCGAGGATGGCGCAGTGGGTTAAGCTACAGAGCTGAAAGCAATCTGCGTCTAACGGTACTGGGTTCGATTCCCGGTCACAGCCTTGGGTGTTGTAGTTGTTTATTAAACAAAAAATAAATATGAGCTGGCTAAATAGTCTTAAAAAGACAATAAAATCTAAATAAAAAAGATTCCATATTTGTACGCAGTTCAAGAGTCAAATTACAATAATAAAATACATTGAAATTACATAGGAAGAGTGGTTATAAAATCATGCACATAACCTAATGTCCACCCATGGGGAAAAATCGTCTAAAGACGATCGTCTTTAGACGCGAATTCGTCCAATCGTCTTTCAAACGATCGACTTTCAAACGATTCAATCGGTTGCGTAGGTTAGGCGGTCGGCTGTACAGACGAAATATATATTTAAAATTCTTCTCTATTATAATAAAGAATTTCAAATATACTTTGGAATATTTGGAATTGTCTATTATTCGAAGTAGGTAGGTATCGCCTTTAGAATTATTTTTTTAATTAATTTAATTAATAATTATGACAAAATAAAAATATTTTCTCATCGGTTAAGTTATAACTTAAAATTTTAATTAAAACGATCATCTTTTTTCGACTATTATTTTAGACGATCGCCTTTTGTATCGTTTATCACTTTAAACGATCGTCTTTAGGGTCGGCTATTATTTTAGACGATTAAAGACGATGGTTTAAATAATTAAACGATTTCGTTTGAAAGTAGACGATCTTCTTCAGACGATCGTCTTTTTTACAAAAGATCGTTTAAAAATAGACGATCTTCTTCAGACGATCGTATTTTTTTTAAACGATTTTTTCCCATGCAAAGTCAACTACCTGAAAAAATGTCGCAAACTTAAGAATTCCAATGTAAGATTTCTTAAATTACACACTTAAAAAAAGTATATACGGCACGGCGCACAGTGGGAGGAATTTCAAAAATCGCGGACAAAATTAGGGACACATTATTTTAAGCCATTTTAAGGTTTATGCGGTGGTAAATTTATGCTAAAATATTAATAATAATAAAATGTTTTAATTATGTACACAAATTCACAAATTTGTTTTAAACAATTTGGAAAAGTTCGGTTTTGTCGATCCTCCATTCTCCAAAAATATAAATTAATATACAAATATATTACGTAATATTACCTGAGCTAAAAATAGAAAAATAAACAAAAAAAACAATAACAATTAATATATAATAATAATTCTAGCAAAATCATATTCATATTCATATTCTAGCAAAATCACTTATATACATTTTTTTCGATACATCTTTTCTTTGTAAATTTCGCATCTTTTGCTTTATTTATATCGACTACTAAAGTGACTTGGTCCAAAAAACCCTATATCGATGTTAAAATAACATTTAAAAGTTGACTTTAAAGCAAAACCGGTTAAATCCAAGTTTTTACCTATTCTCTAAAAATGACTAATTTAATAGTTATTAGTGGCTGCTTTTTCACTTGTTCCATAGTTAACCATGGAATATAATGGTATCCCAAAATTTAACATCCAATTCTTATGTAAAATTGTCCCCTGAATCCGAAAATGCCATAAAAAATTATGAAAGTGGAGCAGTTTTTGAAATATAGTCAATTCCATATTAAATGAAAAATTGACTATATCTCAAAAACTGTTTTACTTTTTTAACTTTTGACGATATTTTCGGATTCAGGGGACAATATAAGATTTATCAATAATATCCAGGTTTTCGGTTAGGTACTTTAAAAGTTTGTTGTGTTTTTCTTTGTTACTAACATTTTTAATAAGTTTATACAACTCCTTATTAGTCGTTGATGGCATTTCTACATAAAAAGAAGCAAGTTATTCAAATAAACATGTAATATTTATATTAATATTATAACTTACCAAATATTATTATAAAGCGTTAATAAACACAAAAACGCGATGAGATTATATGTTTGATTGACTTTCACTGAAAACTGACGTTTTAGAACTAGCAAAAGGCAACTATGATGACTTATAAATATTCGACTAATATGATAAATTCATGGACATATTTCATATTCTGCTGACCAAACAGGCAAAAAAAGGCAGCTTTATTCTTTTGACTTTAAAAAAAGAAAATTTGATGAACGTTCTGGTACCAAATACTTTGCCTCACACCAAGACACACCTAAAGAAATATCTTGTGGTTTGCAAAAGATTTATCTACTTTGAAAGGCGATGGTAAAAGGTTTATAAAAACCGTATTTATGGTAAAATTTGCAATTTTAGACTTTTATATGAAAGACTTTTATATGAAAGAACCTTAGAAGGAAAGAACAAGGATAAGGAATGTGGTAAAATATACCATCATTTCCTTTCATTAATTACGCAAAACAAAAATGGGCTTGAAAAACTTACTACAATTTGCTCTAAAAAACCAACACGAACAATGTGACTTTTTAAGCAAGTTTAAGCGGGCATTTTATCATAAAAAAATATATTTCTTTTAAAATCATAATCTCTGTGCTTTCTTTTTTTATAACTCGTAATTTAAAATTTAGTATGTTGATTTTTACAAAATAGGGTTTTGTCCGCGATTTTTGAAATTCCTCCCAGTGTGCGGCGGAGAGAGCTTATTAACTGCACGCTCGGCTATAATATAAGCGCCTTATCCTTAAATGATGTACTATTTATTAAAATTATTATTTTTTTTATGTAAAAGTTTTTTTAATTCTTTATATTATTATCTTAATAGTTTTTTTTAATTCTTTATATTTACTAATAATTATTATCTTAATAGTTTATAATGACATTAAATAGACAAGTTCGGCGCAAACAGAAGTTAAAAATGGCCGAACTGACGCTGATTTGTGGATGACTTAGCGGCCGAGCCTCAGACTTTAGAAGTTTTTTCTTCTAAGCCTCAGACAACAGATACCTTTTTATCAGAAAACTTCTAATGAACTTTTCAAAAAGTTTATAAATATTGTTAAATAACTAAACATAAAATTGCGAAATAAATGTTGAAAAATATTTACGTGATATTTATGAATGTTTCAGAAATATTTACGCTTAAGATTTTTTCCTGAATTTATAAATATTGTTCTTCAAACGGCCTGAAAATATTTTTAAAACATATGTATTCCCTGCTGAAAAAGACGGGTAATATCGGATGATTGCGGATAAAAAACCAAGCTAGTTTTATGTCCATTTATATCTGTTTTTATCCGACATATCTGATTTTACCCGGCATGTCGGTTTTTATCTGCAATTGCGGGTATAAATATTATCCGCGAACGTCGGGTTTTATCTATTTAGATCTATGTCTGCTTTTATATGTTTTCATCCGCAAATACCTGTATTTGAGTTTATATCTGCATTCACCCGGTTTTATCTGATTTTATCCGCAAACATCTGCTTTTATCCGCAAACATCTGATTTTATCTGCAAACATCTGATGTTATCCGCAAACATCTGCATTTATCCGTAAACATCTGGTTTTATCCGCGAACATCTGATTTTATCCGCAAACATCTGATTTTATCCGCAAACATCTGATTTTAATCGAAAACATCTGATTTTATCCGCAAACACCTGCATTTATCCGCAAATATCTGCTTTTATCGGCAAACATCTGCTTTTATCCGCAAACATCTTATTTTATCCGCAAACATCTGCTTTTATCGGCAAACATCTGCTTTTATCCGCAAACATCTGATTTTATACGCAAACATCTGCTTTTATCCGCAAACATCTGCTTTTATCCGCAAACATCTGATTTTATCCGCAAACATCTGATTTTAATCGAAAACATCTGATTTTATCCGCAATCATCTGCTTTTATCCGCAAACATCTGCTTTTATCCGCAAACATCTGTTTTAATCTCCAAACATCTGCTTTTATCCGCAAACATCTGATTTTATACGCAAACATCTGATTTTATCCGCAAACATCTGCTTTTATCCGCAAACATCTGCATTTATCCGCAAATATCTGCTTTTATCCGCGAACATCTCCAAACATCTGCTTTTAATTGCAAATCTCTGCTTTCATCCGCGTTCGGTTTGCCTGCATTTCCTTTGTCCATTTCGGTCCTGTTTCGTACGCAAACGTCTGGTTTCATTCGCGCTTTTTGTTTTCCTTTTTCTCGTGTATACTTTAGTTTAGTTTATCCGCTTTGTCAAATTTTACTGAGCTTTCCGCGAACATCTGCAAACATCTGCTTTTAACTGCAAACCTCTGCTTTCATCCGCGTTCGGTTTGTCTGCATTTCCTTTGTCCATTTACATATAATAGGTCCTGTTTCGTACGCAAACGTCTGGTTTCATTCGCGCTTTTTGTTTTTCTTTTTCTCGTGTATACTTTAGTTTAGTTTAACTGCTTTGTAAAATTGACTGAG